AATGCTAGGAAGTATAAAATTTTTTGAACCAAAAAAAAAAAGTGCTTGAAATTCCTTACTGATTATAGACCCATTTTTCAATTTCATGCAATTCATATTTACATATATATACTTTATCTTTAATGATATCAATTTTTCATCCAACTTGTCGGCAATTAATATTTGCAGTGTTATCAGATGGGCATGAGATAGTTTTGGCACAAACATCGCAGAAAATAACTTTGTTTTAAAGATTGTATCAAAATTTAGGATCTTTTGAGGCAACATTTTTTTCCCCCACACTTTTTGCAAAGATGAGGGTTTTTGTTAAAACAAATTTATTTCCACCTCACCTTTGAGAAGAAATAACCTCATTTTGCTTATCAGATTCCTTATCGTAGCAATTTACTTACTATTACCTGTTATTCAGCTTAAATGAAACTTTTAACATTGGTATAAAGTTAGTAAAAAGATTTCTTATGGGGAGGCTGGAAAACAAATGTGTTTTGGTAAACATTTTTGAAATAGAATTTTCATTAAAGTTTATTATTTATTTAGTATAAAAATCAACATTTATTGATTAGTGCCCTGTTTATTCTGTGATTTAATACTTCTTATAATTTTTTTCTTTCTTTCTTTTTTTTTTTTTTTTTTTTTTTTTTGCCCGGGCTTATCATAAGAATTAATTATACATGCATCATTATTCTCTATTTGATGGGTGCAAGACCAGTAATTTAAAATATTGTTTTGTGACTTGTTTGTTGATGACTGGGACCAAAAACTTTTTTGGTCTAAGTTGATAATACAACAATTTCCTCAAATATGAACAAAAATTTCCTGGATAAAGCACAATTTCAACAGTGAATCCTTATTTGTTTTAGAAATTCTTTACAAATTTTACCTCAGTTGCTAGTGGGCCATAATGATTTGCTGCTAAATTTAGTTTCACATACATGCAGTAGGGCTAGTCCTTAAATACAAATTTAGCATGATAAGTTTAAATGCTAACTTAACCCTTAACTTGCTAAATTTGTGAAATGGATTCACCCTGCCTTGAATTTGGAGTAGTCCATTCAAAGTTGTAAGGGAGTTCAATAAAAAAATGAGCTGAGCCATGACAAAACCAACATAATAGGTTTGCGACCAGCATGGATCCAGACCAGCCTGCGCATCCGCGCAGTCTGATCAGGATCCATGCTGTTCGAGATCAGTTTCTCTACTTGTTATAGGGTAAACGAACAGCATGGATCCAAACCCATTATGTTGGTTTTGTCATGGCGCGGCTCAAATATAAATGAGCTACGTTGGGTATCAAACCTGGTCATACAGTACAGATGTGCAAGCTGGCCTGGCTCTATACTGGTGGCACAGGCTGATCAACATTGCTATAATTACTTTAATTAATTGATTAATTAGTTTTTAAGTACCAAATATTATAATAGGAAAAGGTAAGGAAAGATGTATCTTTTTAATTGATTTTAAAATAAAGTTCCATGTTACAATTAAGCCCATTCAATAAATCGAAGGGAAAACTAAGCAGATGTTTTGTATGAAAGTATATTTTATAATGAATGATATATGACAACTGATCAAACTTGTTGAATCATTTTACACACATACTCTAGTTTGTATTATATGTGTTTTTTCTAGACAACAATATAGACGTCTAGTACGAAGATAATTGCATGCTTTACCAACATACAGAATGTATAGAAAATTACAAACTGTTTTGGATGTAATATTTGTGTTTGTGTCTTCTTTTTCTCCCACCTCTTCTTTAAAGTCTCCCACCTCTTTCTTTAAAGTGTGTTGTTAAAGGTCTTTTCCATAGATTTACACTTCGTCATTGGAAACTGCAGCTGATGAGTTTTTAGACCTTTCTAGAAGTCTTTGTGGCCTAGTGATTCAAGTTTCTGTCATTAAGTCACTTGCCTCTCATTGTGTGGGTATGTGTCCCAACAGGGACTAGAATCTTTCATTGTGGTAGCCATCAAGCTAGTTTACTAAAGGTCAAGAGTTTTACTGTGGTATCCTGGTGTTTGAAATGATTTGAGCCGCGTCACGACAAAACCAACATAATGGGTTTAAAACCAGCATGGATCCAGACTAGTCTACGCATCTGCGCAGTCTGTTCAGGATCCATGGTGTTCGCTTACAAATCTATAACAAGTAGAGAAACTGATAGCGAACAGCATGGACCCTGATCAGAATGTGCGGTTGGGTAGGCTGGTCTGGATCAATGTTGATCGCAAACCCATTATGTTGGTTTTGCGTAGGCTGGTCTGGATCCATGCTGATCACAAACCCATTATGTTGCTTTTGTCATGACGTGGCTCATTTACAGAGAAGCACACTGGGTCTTCCTCCCCCAGCATAGCTGGAAAGTTGCTGTATAACTTTTACAGTGCTTGTGATCTAAAACCCCATATAACATTCCTGAGCTCAGCAAACCCAATCTTGCCAGTCATTTACCTAAAAGGTAAGGGGTACCATAATATAAACAAATTGATACATGTTTGTTCATACTTATCTCCCTTTACCATTATATTGGTTACCTGTAAGTTTACATAATAGTTTGGTGTAACAGCAGTTTTACAAAGGTAAAGGATTTTAGATATAAGTTTAAACCATTTTAGCATTTTAACTTTATTTCAATCTTTCAGCTTCTTTTTAATCCATGACAAAGTTTTCTTTCATGCTATTTTTTTAACTATGACAAAGTCTCAAACTAACTTAACATGAGAAGTATAAGCATCTATCGTGGTTGAAAAGCAAAATGCTCCAAGTGACACATGTCCTTAGTTTCCCAAACAATCTTATTAATTGGCTACTAGTATTTTATATGATGCTGATAAAGAGAAACATTAAGTCCAGGATAATGCCAAGTTTAGTTTTCATTTTTAAAGATGATCCATTGATCAATAGGTTAAAAAACTGTAGGAAACTGTAAATGAGCCATGCCATGACAAAACCAACATAATGCGTTTGCGACCAGCATGGATCCAGACCAGCCAGTAGAGAAACTGATAGCGAACAGCATGGATCCTGATCAGACTGTGCGGATGCGCAGGCTGGTCTGGATCCATGCTGGTCGCAAACGCACTATGTTGGTTTTGTCATGACGTGGCTCAAATATCAGTGTCCAATAAGGAATATCTATGGTATAGAGATGAGATTGTTATGAGTAAATATCATGGTCTGGGAAAACATGGAGGGCCTTTAAATTCAGACAATATCAAAGCTGTGTGGCCAGAATCTTTTTGCAAGATTAGACAAAATCTGAACTTGAGTTTCTGCAATTCTCTAATGAACTAAAATCTCCCTTAACTCCATGAATTCAAAATATCAGTCACTTTTTATTGGTGCATTGAGTACATGTTAGTTACAAACTTTTTTGTTTGTTAATCCCATGTTGTTGAAAAATCAGAAATACGATGGATGTTACTGATTGGTTAAATGGTTAAAAAAAAACAAACGTCTAAAATCATTGCTGTCAATAAATATGCTGTCAGTGGTGCCCAAAATCATTGTGGCGTTAAGTACCATGATTATTAAGAACAATATGCAATATGATTCATTTTTAAAATTGAATTTCACTAAAGCTTTCACTAAAAGTGATTCATACCCCCACATGCAACCTTGACTTTTTCATAAGCTTGCTAAAGGCAACTTAACAATATTTCTTTCCTAGCTAAGTCTCGAAATAAGCTTGCTAAATACCTAGTTTGATTACACAATCTCATACCCAACTATATTTATTGTATGGAACCATTTTCTATTTTTAGAAACAATGACCTGACCCAATGAGGTCCAAATGCAATCCCAACCAGGGTTTCTGCATTAAGTTGCTATACACCAAGTTTGATTACACTATCATACCTAATTGTAGTTATTGTCCGGAAACCATTTTTCTATTTTTAGTAACAGTGACCTTGTCCAATCACCCATGCCATATAACCACAATCTGAATATTTCACTACTCTCCAACCTGTTTTATGCTTCATTAAAGTGACCCATATTTCTGGTCAAAGATATTCATTGAACTACTTCACTTCAATAACATGCTTTATTTCAAAATAACATTTGATATCTTTGAAGAACTCCACTGAGGTTCAAAAGCCTAAAAACATAAAAGATGAATTTCTTATATAAATCAACTGGGGTACTTAAAGCTGCATGCCTCCAGATGAATCAAAATATTTCAAGAAAATCAAACTTAAGAAAAAGTACTTGATTTATAAGAACAATAAAAAGATTCAAGACTTAAGTAATAGTTTCCATGTAATCGGCGATTTGTGACCGATTTTGCAGTATTTTTCACCATATCTCTACTGCGTTAGTAACGCAGTAAGGGCTATTTTTGCATAATTTGATATCCTTTTTGCTGATTAACATGTGTTGTAAGTGCTGTATTCAAGGTAAAAATTATTTTCATTGTTCAATTGACAATATTTTTCTTTTTGAAACATATTCAAAATGTTCATGAAAATTTGCATGAATCTTGAGGCCTGCTGCTTTAAAACAGAATAATATGCAAAAGAATAAGATTATACTCTGAAAAAAAAACTGAAATTTATAATTTATTCCTATCCTTAACCTGATTTAAGTGAAAAGCATTTCAAAACTTTTCAATTTTGGGTAAAATGTTCATAATTTGAATAATTTTTCTGGAAAAACGGAGTTAGTGAAAGATTTGAAGTTTTTCATACAAGTTATTGGTCTAGACTAACATCAAAAGGAACATTAATCTTGAAAAATTATTTCCAGTCAGGTCATTTAAAAAAACCCTCAGTGGAGTCCCTTTAAGACATGCACTTTATGTGTATATATCTCAAACAAGTTGTCTCTTTACAAATAAAGCATGTTACTAGCCCGTACTTGCTTAGGGACATTAAAGATTTGGTATCATGTGATTATTAAATTGAAGTGAGACCAGCGTATTACATTCAGAGGAATACTGATAAATACTTTGTTGAATCAAAATAAGTACAAATTTAAGAATATACAAAAATCATTTAATATATTATTTAATATGATAGTAAAATTCAAAATACACTCCAATCAATCCATGGACAACTCCACACAAAAAGTTTTCAATAATTAAACTAACAAATAGGAAAATTCATTTACATTTATCAAAATTTTATAGTATCTTTCCTTCTGCCTTCCATTATTTTATAACAACAGTCTATGCATTGTTGTGTATGTTTTCCTTTTAATGAAACCAACTGGTAGTTTTCCTCCGACTGTGTCACACTCCCGTTAACATCATCACACAACATTTTCACCACTTCTGACCTATCCTCTTCTTGACTCTGGAATAAAATCAACATAAAATAGACATTAACCATGGAATATATCACCATAAAATAGACATTGACCCTGGAATATATCACCATAAAATAGACATTGACCCTGGAATATATTACCATAAAATAGACATTGACCCCAGAATATATCACCATCAAATAGACATTGACCCTGGAATATATCACTATAAAATAAACATTGACCCTGTGATATATCAACATCAAATAGACATTGACCTTGGAATATATCACTATAAAATAGACATTGACCATGGAATATATCACCATAAAATAGACATTGCCCCTGGAATAAATCACCATAAAATAGACACTGACCATGGAATATATGGCCATAAAAAGACATTGACCATGGAGTATATCACCATAAAATAGACATTGCCCCTGGAATATATCACCATAAAATAGACATTGACCATGGAGTATATCACCATAAAATAGACATTGACCCTTAAATATATCACCATAAAATAGACATTGACCATGGAATATATCACCATCAAATAGACATTGACCATGGAATATATCACCATAAAATAGTCAGACAACAGTACATGTAAATACAGAATAAGTGGATATTTCCATGTGGCAAAAAGTCAGAAAATTTCAAATTTCAGACACTGTATGTGAGGAAATATAGTGAATCATGCAAGGGTAGAATTAAATGACAGGTTGGTTGATATATTGAATTTCAGCTTTCTAGTGATCCCAGACAGTTTATTGTCAATTAAAAATCAATCAAAATATATAAAGAAATCAATCTCATGTTTGTTAAATTCATAAACATAAAAACTATACCTTAGGAAATGCAACATAAGCAACTGTTTTATTTGATGTCTCCACCACCAGCATCAATGGCTTTAAAATTATCTGAGATTTCATCATTTTGTTTAGCTGAAACATTAAACAATGCAAACTTTAAAATAAATTAAAAAAATACTAAAACACAGGTTTTAATATGAGAAAATGAAAACTTAAAAATTTAACAGTGTTACAGCTTATAATAGATCAGACCTAGTAGTGTTTCCATAGGACTTAAATGTCGAAACATCAGGACAGACAGACAGATGGACAGACAAGGCAAATCAATATCCAGTCATTTAGCGCAAGGCTTTTACATATTTGATACCTTAATGTGAGGAGTGAAAAAGATGATTGGCACCTAAAACTTAACCAAAGTGTAGACATTTTATATATATGGACAACCAGCTGAAATTTTCTTCCAAAATTTAACAGAAATCATACCTTTGGTAAAACTTTCATATTAAAGTTATATATAATATATTCTTCTTCATTGTTCATTCCAACTAACAAGTCCTGCAAAAACAAATAATATTCCATATGATATCCTATATTTCAATCTAGCTAGCATGACAACATCTACAACAACAACGTCCCAGTGACCATGGTAACTGGACTTTTATCTTTGAAACAGATGAGCTAAAAATCAAATATGATGGTATGCACAATGCAGAAAATGATATCTTTCATATTTATGAGACTTTTGACACAGTCATTCTAGCAGATTTTTATTTTATATTGTATAGCAAACAGTATATCACCTTTTTTTATTTAATTCTAAAACATCTGACAACATTCTGAAATATATCCTGTCCATGAGGGTGTATTTCACAATGAAATATTCCATTTTAATAAATAAAGAATGTGACATGTCAAGTGGTGAACATGTTTGACTAGGAATCTAAGGAGTGCTGACCTTGTGGATTTTTTCAGGGGCAAACCATTGTTACCTTAGCTAAGAAACTTTACACTTGCGCCTTTTGCTTGCAGATAGTTTATAACTTCCTACACAAACAAATTAAATTAAATTCTGTATAAACTAAAAAATTAATTAAATGATCTTAAATCAAAGCAGATGTATAACATAAATAAGGGTCTTTCATAGAAAAAGAGTAGCATACATTACAGGTCATTAACCAAAGTCTGTAATAATAACCCAATCAGATGTTGAGATGTCTTAAACAAGATGGCCCAGAAGACCCTGGATCACTCACCTGAGAAATAGGTCAAAAGGTCAAAGTGTAACCCCTTTTCACCCCAGAATTACAATTTGAAAACAAAGAACAGCTAAATCTGAAAAAATTTTGTACAGTTTCAGCAAGGAAATTTTTGTGTGAAATTATTTCAAAACTGAACCAGTGGTTAAGATGTTGTTTAAATGTTGTTGTTTCTAATTTTAACTCTGGCAGCCATTTTATTAAACAGTTCAGCCTGTCACTTAGTGAGAGGTGAGCTTATAAAAAGATGATAGAAAAAGAGAGGGAAAACAAACACTTGACCTGGCTGGGGATTGAACTGTCGACCTCAATCCCCTGGGGCGGGGACAATTTTGACCCTAGGGGTTTCATTTCAACAAACATGGTGGACATAGTATTACACTAGAACATGTTTTGTGTCAAATATCTAAGCTCTAGCTCTTTCGTTTTTTTACAAGAAAATTTTTTAAGAGTTATGGAAAAAAATCTTTCGGTTGCCATGACAACCAGAGTTCTTCATGGAATTTAATTCTTTGAACAACTTTGGTAGAACTTCATGCAAGAAACATCCCTGCAAAGTTTCAACAAATTTGGCCATGTGGTTTAGGAGGAGAAGTTGTTTAAAGAAATTGTTGACAGACAGACAGACTGACGGACAGACGATGGACAACAGACAATGGACCATTAAAAAAGCTCACCTTGAGGACATTGTCCTCAGGTAAGCAAAAAAGTCTCAAAACCAAAGAATGATAATAACTGTCTTCCAATTTTATCATTATAGTCTCTAAGCTAGAACACTTAGCAATAAAATCATATATACTTTACCTGTTGTAGCTGTATGAAGGCTTGCTTGTTGTATAAAGTATTTATGTGCGTTCCTATAGCAACTATTTTATTTGTCATTTTATCCTTGAACAGCTTTGGTAACATGTCCGTTCCCAGTACCTGTATCGTACATAATGTATGTCAGTAAATCTTACATATTGTACAGGTATATTGATAACAATCATATAAACATGGCAGAATCCATGACCAAAATGTATACAGTATATGACATTAATTTACTTTCACCTCATTGCTGTGTGTTTTATTCACTCTATAGAATTTGAATTCTTACATTTGAAAAAAAGCTCAGTACAGCCAAATTTGGCCCATTTCATTTGTCACATGTATGCATCAGACTCATGTTGTGTCTTAGTTTACAAGCTTACAGAAAGAAGGTTTTATGATCAAGGTTCAAGTTGTTTGAAGACAAAGGCACAAGCCCTCTCCCTCCCCCAAATTTGAAGATTGATGCTCAGCATAAAATAGCAATGAATGAAATACCGTGTTTATCTGTTTCTGTAACTCTGTACACTGTTTTAAGTTTTCTTCCTTCACTTTTATTGTAAGGTCAGTATATAAACATTCTACCTGTTCCGCCAACTGTTTTGCCTAGAAAAGTAAGCAAAATATACAACATCTAATGTTATATATAATAAATCTGTAAAAATTAGAATGCAAAAGCCTTATATAGATACAATGTAATTCTAATTGTGTCAAAAAGGGGTTGCTTCTATTTGAGAAGTATAAATCAAGATTGATAAAAACAAAATATATGAATGAAGAATTAATATATTTCACCCCCTAAGTTAGATACCATAGACACTGTTTTATTAATTCTTTAATTAACAGAGACATAGATAACAGAGATAAGCAACTCCTATATACTCCATTGAAATATCACTCATGCCTATCAAAAAGTGAAAAATTAGGCATTTTGTAGCAAATAAAACTTAATGGGTGTACATTTGATCCTTTTATATTATATACCATTTTAAAGGTAAATCTTTTATCTATTTCTGCATGTTAAAAAATTGGTAACTTTCCATGCCTTTTGCTTAGAAAAACATGGCATAACATACCCACTGAGCTAGTTTTTTGTCATATGAATAGCTTTGTAACAAAAATTATCATAGTAGTTCTCTTTTAAAAAATGATGTAACATTTATTTAAATGGGAACTGTAAATCTTTTTACCTGCAGCCATAGGCAAATGCATAAGCTTTCAGAAAATGTATTATTTTACTGATTTTGATATCTGGTTAATAAGTTTTACTTGCTACAAGTTTTAAGTTTAGCAGGCACTCGTGATATTTTAACTGGCTAGGAAGTTGCCTATCTCTGTTATCTATGTCTCTGTTTTCGATAATGCTTGTGAAAATCTTCTCTTTTAAACAGACACAACTGAGGCTTTTTTGAGTTGTCAAAATTGGAAATATTCTGCTAATAGTTGTGTACAAATTGATGAAAGTCTGTACTATTAGCTTATTTACAACTTTTTAGGTCATTACCTCATCCTGTTTTTAATTGGGCAAAATGACCCAAAAGTGAAACAAGTTGCAATGCTTTTCACTCAAATTCAAGAGTAACACACAAAGAAAATAAAATTCAATTTAATTCAAGGTATATTTCTTTGTTATCTTTTTCAGAGTTCTCAATTGTAAGTGCTTCACTTCATATGTCTTGGATTTCCAAATTTATTGTTTTTTAGACCTTTGGATCTCAGTGGAGTTCCTTTAAAATACTCAAAACAGAATGTCTCCTAGATGAGTTCAATGAATCTCCAAAATGAAAAATTATTTTGAAGCAATATTGAAAATAAAGGTGAAACTGTGCAAAATTTGAAAGAATTTACTTTTTTGTAAGCAGATTAAGAGGATGTTCTGCACATTTTGACAAGTTCAGGTAATTATGCGGATATCAAGTGCCTAAAGGAAGGTTGTATAAAAAAAAAAACATTTGAAAGCAACTTTACCCATTAGAATAACCTTCAAGCTTTCCTAAATATCAACACAAAAGGCCTACTGCTTTAAACACAATCATGTAAATTTCTAAAGAATTATTTAAGATATTGTGTATTAATTAAGTACATTTGTATTTACCTGTCTGGCTGGTTCCCCTGTTAGACAAACAATAGTTTTAGTACCACTGGTTTGACCTTGAACACTAGTAATACAGAAATCTTCAAGGTCACCTGTGTTAAATACATGCCTGAAAAAAAGAAGTCCAGTTAAGTCATCACCAGCATTGTATGTATAGGTCAGATGACAACTTTCAAATTTTACAGGTGGAGTAAGAACACACGTTCCTCTGAGCATTATTTAAGCCGTCATTGGGCATCTGAATATGACAAAACTGATACAAATGAGTTAGTGAAATTAAAAACTAAACATGCCACATTTTAGATTTAGTAAGGTAAGAAAAATATTCAGGACAAGAAATATTTGAGCCGCATCATGACAAAACCAATGTAATGCATTTGCGACCAGCATGGATCCAGACCAGCCTGGCATTATATTGGTTTTGTCATGACGTGGCTCAAATCTATTTAGTATCATTGTCTTGGTTCGGTTATAAACAATACCAACACTGCTAAGATGATATTGTAACTTTCAACCTCTCTTAGAGAAAGTAGATCTCGGATTTCCTTCCATTCATTATTTCAGGCATTTTAAGTATAACAACCAAACTTTTGTAAGCTAGCTAAACATTAAGAATCAAGAATATTTGACAAGAACCTGACCCACAGTGGAAGACTAGTGGTTTAAAGTCAACGACCTTGACTACACAACAAAAAGCACACCAGACTTGTCATAATATAATGAAAATTATTTTCTGGTCTTTAAGTAATGCAGGAAGTATTATACATGTATTATATTATTCCAACAAACTATACAAAGCAAAGGATTAAACAATTAATGTTCAGCTGAGAACACAAAAGAATTCTTCAAGTATAAATCTAATTTCACTAAAAATAATATCATCTTTTAAATAAATATCTATTCATACTATAAACACTTTTCAAATAATAAAACCATGATCAAGAATCAATTAAAAGATTGCAAAAGTTACAGAACTGCACTTTACAGACTACTGGTAGTTAAAAAAGACTACCTAAAAACATTAGTACTCAGAGTACATTCTGGCATGACAATTACTTATATAGGGCAATTATTTACTTACGTCCCTCCACACAACTCTTTAGAAACACAGGAATCTTCCCGACCTTGACCTTCAACTGTCACAGCATATACCTCACTTGGATACACCTTCAAATATTCAGTTATTATTTTTCTTTTAATATAAAAGAGCCCCGTCACGACAAAACCAACATAGTGGGTTTGCGACCAGCATGGATCCAGACCAGCCTGCGCATCCACGCAGTCTGATCAGGATCCATGCTGTTCGTTTACCAACTCTATTACAAGTAGAGAAAGTGACAGCGAACAGCATGGATCCTGATCAGACTGCGCAGATGCCCAGGCTCGTCTGGATCCATGCTGGTCGCAAACCCACTGTGTTGGTTTTGTTGTGACGCGGCTCAATTATTATTGTTTCAAGCTCCATTGTGCAGAAAATTTGTAGTTTATATGAATCAATTTTAAGTCTAACTTTCAAAGTTATGTTTTCATAATAAAAAAAAAAATAATAATTTTCTTTTTAGAAAATCTGTCCTTACTTCACACGAACAACATCTGTTACACTCCAATTATCGAAGGCACTTACCACATTATCTAGATAAACCATTCCCCGAGTTTCTAGAGCTTGTTTCAAGGGTACAAGATTTCTCTGTACTGGAATTTTTTCTTCTATAGTTCTGTTTACTAATTTATCTACTTTCTGTATGTCTTCATCAGAAAAAGTGCCCTTCAATGCAAAGTGAATTATGTTGTTTACAAATAAAATATGTTTTTAATGAATATCAATTTTATTCTCTAAGGAAGATGTTCTTGTAATCATATAAGGTAGTGAAATATAAACTTAGAGTAAAGAGAAATATAAACTTAGGGTAAAGAGAAATATTAACTTACAGTAAAGTGAAATATCAGCTTACAGTAAAGTGAAATATCAGCTTACAGTAAAGTGAAATATACACTTACAGTAAAGTGAAATATACACTTACAGTAAAGTGAAATATAAACTTACAGTTAAGTGAAATATAAACTTATAGTAAAGTGAAATATACACTTACAATAAAGTGAAATATAAACTTACAGTAAAGTGAAATATAAACTTACAATTAAGTGAAATATAAACTACAGTAAAGAAAAATATAAACTTACAGTAAAGAAAAAAATATAAACTTACAGTAAATGGGGGATATTCAAGTTTTTTCTATAAATACAGGATTTTTTTCATTGATTACTATGAAAATTGGTATGAAAATAAATATTTCATGAATGGGTGTTGCCACAAGTGAAATATGATAATTTTTCACACCACAAGAGGAAAATAAATCCTGTATTTACAGTAAAAAACTTGAATTTTATACAGAAACAGAGCAGTGGTCTAACTGAGACTGCCTCTCAACCCATGGATCATGGTTTCAAGCCCTGCTGGGATCACTGCCAAGTTTCCTCATAGTACAGCATTTTACCTCGCACCAACATTGTAAAGGTCATATGTCGACTTTCCAGCTATAATTGTAAAGAAAGTGCCCCTCTGTGCATTAATAAAGGCATAAATAGGCACCCGAGTAGAACCAACAACGTTCTGTAACCTAGCTGGATAGCTTCCTCACATGAAAGAATCCAAAGTCCCTGGCGAGATTCAAACCCACAGCGGTAAGGGGCTAATGGTTTGAAATCAACAAACCATAACAACACAGCATCGGTTGCCGGGAGCTAAAAATAGATGTTTGTTTAAACCAATCTTTACTTACCCAGCATGAGAAGTCAAATGTTAGTTTATTACAGGTAACAGTGGACCCACTTTGTGTGACATCACTTCTAATAACTTGTCGTAGGGCAGAGTTTACAAGATGAGTTGCTGTGTGGTTCCTGGTACATCCAACTCTCCAATCCTTTTTAAAATGATAATAAATTAATAATTAACTAATTGTGTTCCCTTTGCCCAATGAACATGCATTTAAAAACAATCAAAGATAAGATGTGTTGCTTTTATGTTGGCTAAGTTTTTGAAGCAATCTCAGTTTTCGTTGTATTATGACACTCCCAACATTATTTCAGTTAGATGTGGGCATCTAGGTATGTCAAATCAACTTGAAATGGGAGTGTTTTTTTAAACAGTGCAGCTTAAAAAGGAGATAGCAGTGTACTTTCTGCATGGATGTTTAAAAAAGAACTCATATTACAACATAAATCATTTTGTTTTTTTAATCACCTAGAATAAAACAATATCAAAACATTTTAGTATAATCAAGACAAAAATTAAGATTGGATATTGATATTCAAATGACAGCATGACATTGGTTAACGTAAAATAAGTGCTTGGAAACAACGAAACTGCTTTTGCCATTAATAACTGGTATCAAAACCCAAGTTATACTGTCCTAATTATTTCTTTTTTATTTGTACATAGAAATACTTACAGAATCTAAACTGAGTGATGCTGGCTGACTTGTTTCTACATGACCTTGTATAACATGTCCTATATGTAGAACATAATCATGACTGGATTGTGTGTCATATACCTGCACCATACCTGTCTGAAACAGAATTCAAAATGTTTTTATAGGGCATCTGTGACTGAGTGGTTAAGGTTGTTGACTTCAAACCACTTGCCCCTCACGGCTGTAGGTTCAAATCCAGGGAAAAATGATTTCTTTTATGTAAGAAAGCTATCCAGCTTGCTTATTCTACTCAGGTGCTGGCTTGTGCCTGAAATATTGCTCAGAGGGGCACCAAACGTTTTCCTCCACCAGTAAAGCTGGAAAATCGTCATAATGCCTCTTCTGTGATGGTGTGGCATACAATGCAAATAAAAATGTTTTATACAGATATAAACAGTGGACATTAAGATAAACTGACCAAATGCTGGTGCAAAGTAGAGTTACAAGTAAACATTTAGATTTCATTATATTTTAGCTAAAGCAGTCAATAGTTTGTTGGTCAAGAAACTGTAATAGTGGAATTTTACTAACAAATGAACTGCCAAATAATTATATGCATGTAATTAGAAAAAAAGAATGCATACCTTTGAGACTCTACAGATAAATTACCTGAGTTTTAATCAAGCCTTTATCCCCCACTTGTCCCCCTTTCTCAGCATAAAACTGTGTCTTATCAACTATAACAGCAACTGTCGAACGTTCTGATACAGACTTACTTAACTTGTTACAATCATCAACCATACACTCTATCCTTCCTTCAATCACTGGAAACTCTAAAATTACAAAACATGCATAAAACATAACTATAACTGTATGTTTGGCAATTATTATGTCAATGTTTTTTTTTCTTAAGGCACGCAACTGGGTTATCTAGTTTATTCACCCAGTAATAGAACTGAGGTGGTTGGGGTCATTCCCATCACACCATACATGTATTATATATACAAGTTCAATACTAACATACAGCAATCATTCATGTTTAGAATTAAATTTTCACACAGATAAAAAGAGCTCAGCTAAGGTCAAAAAGCCTAAAAACATTAAAAAAAATGAAATTCTCACATAGCATTTAAAATGATTAAAAAAATCTACAAATAATAATAAGAAATATGATTAAATTAAAAATTGACTTTTTGTGCAATTCTTAGCCAAATCTTAGTGAATATCTACACTCAAGTTATTGATACAGACCTCCATCAAATGGTATATATACTTCCAGGCCTATTAGGTCAAAAAAACCTCAGTGAAGTCCCTTTAATTTAACATGACAGGGTGTATCATTTACATTTGGTTAGTCATAAACAGTGTTGCGTCTAGAATTTCAAAATTATGGGGAATTGTCCCCCACTCAACTAAATAATGTGGGGGATTTGAAAAAAATGTGGGGGACAAGCATTTACCTACAATATGATCATTTTAAAATTGTATTTTGTTGTAAAACAAACAGAAAACAATGACAGACTTACCACAAAAAAATTCATTAATTTTACGTTTAGGCATTTTTGCAATTGTCTGCTCAAGAACAGAAATATAAATAAAAAATAAGATATTGAAGAATACTAGTTAAGTGCACAGGTCAACTGTCAATACACACGTGAGATGATCCGACCGGCTGCTACTAGCTATTTTGTTCGTATTTTAGTCATTACCGCGAGTGAAAACAAACATGGCAGAAGCGTTCAAAATACGATGAAGATTAACTAAATTAAGTTGAAAAGATCGTTTGATGCGCGACTTGGTGCACATTGACTTCATTAAATTGAGCGATCTGCAAAATATAAGCGCGAATTGCGCAATCGCGTGGCCTAGATGCAACATTGCATAAAACAGATACCAGTATATCACCATTGATAATGAATTGTCTAAAAAACCAGCTTGACATCATCAAATTATCTTAAACACATCAGCTGCATTAAAATATAAAATATAGATTCATTTTTGCCATATATAGTATATACTTACCTACAGTTTTATATTTTTACCACAATCATGTAATATGCAAAATGTCTTACGATTTAGTTCAAATGGTTCATAACAACTACCTTTACTATTTTAAATGGCTTACGATTTAGTTCAAATGGTTCATAGCAACTACCTTTACTATTTTAACAAACACTCTAAGACACCTGCTGATATAATACTATTACACAAGTATATTACCATATTTTCCTCCTGCAGATTTTGTGTACTCATATTTGTGACTATCGGTTGTGACAGGTATATTGTTGTTATATAAATCATTCAACAGTTCTGCTGTAAAACATGGGTACTCTACCTCCGTAGGGGTCACATGAGCTCCCTTAAATAAAATTAGATACCATTGTAAAAATATTTTTTCCAAATAAATAAAAACAGGACCAAAAAACCCTTCTTTGTAGAGGCCGAATAAAGGCTGCTTCCCCAACCAAACTAGCCTCTTTTTTTCCCCAGTTTGGTCCTCAAAGTTCACCACGCTTTTGAAACTTCCCATAAAATTTAGAACAAAATTAAATGATGGTGTTGAATTATGGTCTTTTACTGTGTTATAAGTATTTCCCAGTGCTTTTTGCTTTTTATTTTGAAGAACTTGTTAGTTAAAAGTTTTTGTTAAATTTGAGACCCTTTTTCCAAAAGTATGCCAAAATCATGCATATTTTCCCCCAAGAAAAAGGCCAAGGTTTTTGTAGCAAAAAGCCCTTTAACCATAATGGAGGTCATATTTACCAAGGTGCATGTAGGAAAAAGCCCTTTAACCATAATGGTGGTCATTTTTACCTGGTTGCATGTAGGAAAAAGCCCTTTAACCATAATGAAGGTCATATTTACCAAGGTGCATGTAGGAAAAAGCCGTTTAACCATAATGGAGGTCATATTTACCAAGGTGCATGTAGGAAAAAAACCTTTAACCATAATGGAGGTCATATTTACCAGGGTGCATGTAGGAAAAAACCCTTTAACCATAATGGAGGTCATATTTATCAGGGTGCATGTAGGAAAAAACCCTTTAACCATAATGGAGGTCATATTTATCAGGGTGCATGTAGGAAAAAACCCTTTAACCATAATGGAGGTCATATTTATCAGGGTGCATGTAGGAAAAAGCCGTTTAACCATAATGGAGGTCATATTTACCAAGGTGCATGTAGGAAAAAGCCCTTTAACCATAATGGAGGTCACATTTACCAGGGTGCATGTAGGAAAAAGCAGTTTAACCATAATGGAGGTCATATTTACCTGGTTGCATGTAGGAAAAAGCCCTTTAACCATAATGGAGGTCACATTTACCAGGGTGCATGTAGGAAAAAGCCCTTTAACCATAATGGAGGTCACATTTACCAGGGTGCATGTAGGAAAAAGCCCTTTAACCATAATGGAGGTCACATGTACCAGGGTACATGTAGGAAAAAGCCCTTTAACCATAATGGAGGTCATTTTTACCAAGGTGCATGTAGGAAAAAACCCTTTAACCATAATGAAGGTCACATTTACCAAGGTGCATGTAAGAAAAAGCCCTTTAACCATAATAGAGGTCATTTTTACCAAGGTGCATGTATAAAAAAAGCCGTTTAACCAAAATGGAGATTATTTTTACCAAGGTGCATGTAGGAAAAAGCCCTTTAACCATAATGGAGGTCATTTTTACCAAGGTGGATGTATAAAAAAGCCGTTTAACCATGATGGAGGTCATTTTTACCAAGGTGCATGTAGGAAAAAGCCCTTTAACCATAATGGAGGTCATTTTTACCAAGGTGCATGTATAAAAAAGCCTTTAACCATAATGGAGGTCATTTTTACCAAGGTGCATGTAGGAAAAAGCCCTTTAACCATAATGGTGGTCATTTTTACCTGGTTGCATGTAGGAAAAAGCAGTTTAACCATAATGGAGGTCATATTTACCTGGTTGCATGTAGGAAAAAGCAGTTTAACCATAATGGTGGTCATTTTTACCAAGGTGCATGTAGGAAAAAGCCCTTTAACCATAATGGAGGTCACATTTACCAGGGTGCATGTAAGAAAAAGCAGTTTAACCATAATGGAGGTCATTTTTACCAAGGTGCATGTAGCAAAAAGCCCTTTAACCATAATGGAGTTCATATTTACATTGTGCATGTAGGAAAAAACCGTTTAACCATAATGGAGGTCACATTTACCAGGGTGCATGTAGGAAAAAGCCCTTTAACCATAATGGATGGCCAAAATCCCAGTAATTGAAAGCAAAACAGAGCCACAAACACAATGATGAGAAGAAGATGGCACACAAAGTAACTTCAGTCAATATGATCAATATAACCAAAAGCCAGTCATGAAGTTTGCATCACAGATGGATTATTTCATTTTTATATTTTATACATAGATAATATTCACATACTGTGCATCTTGTATAATTTCTCATTTTGTCTATCTACACCCAGGGCATTTTTGTCATTCATCTGGCAATTTGAAGTGGAAAGCTTTTATCTACACATCAATGGAGACATTGTCTTTTTTTAACCTGTTATAGAGCTTTTGGCTGAGTAGGATCATATAATGTAAAAAAACAACATATTGAGCTAAAATTATACTCACATGTCGATATTCAAAGTAACTTTTCAAATCTTCTACATCTATTTTAAGACCGTATTCTGGGGCAATCAGTTCTATCATTTCTGTTGACACTATGTTTCCATAGTAACCATCATGTAGTCTTTTAATGTATTCAACTGTTAATAAAAGAATCATCCTTTAAATCAATGAATGAAATTTCCTCTGCAGAAAAATATATTCTCCGATTCCACTTCTTGGCAGGCATATTCTCTTTTAAAGCTTAATAAAATTTTAAAACATTATTATCTTCATTGAAAGTAATCTCAGAGTGATTGCTTAATTTTGAACTAAGTTGTTACAACAATAAGTTTAAAACAAGAGCCATGTCAACATGGCCATCCCTCGCCGAATGTTTTTGCTCATTGGAAAAATATATATGTAGTAGAGCAGAATAATTCAATTTAAAGAGCTCTTTTGGTAATGAAAACTGATGGCTGAAGTGATTACAGATTTGAAACCTATGTGACTACTGATGGCTGAAAATAATAAAGGGCAATAACTGAAAAATAATGCAGGGTAAGTTATCATTCTTATAAGCTGCAATCCTCCTCAATGAGATCTATCCACCTACAAAGTTTCAAGTTGATACCTCAAAGGCTTCTATAGTTATGCTCTGGACAAAAATTAAGCATGAAAAATAACAAAGGGCAATAACTGAAAAATTATGCAGGGTAGAGTTATCATTCTTGTGTGCTGCACTCCTCCTAATGAGACCTATCCACCTATGAAGTTTCATGTTGATATCTCAAAGGCTTTTTAAGAATGCTCTGGACAAGATTAAGCACAGAAAATAACAAAGGGCAATAACTGAAAAATTATGAAGGGTAGAGTTATCATTCTTTTGCACTGCACACCTCTTGAGTGAGATCTATCCACCTATGAAGTTTCATGTTGATATCTCATAAGCTTTTTGAGTTATGCTCTGGACAAAAATTAAGTTTGAAAAATAACAAAGGGCAATAAATGAAATATTATGCAATGTAGAGTTTTTGTGCACTGCACTCCTCCTTAATATGATCTATCCACCTATGAAGTTTCAAGTTGATACCTCAAATTCTTTTTGAGATATGCTTCGGACAAATAGTATGAAAAATAACAAAGGGCAATAACTCAAAAATTATAATGGGAAGAGTTATCTTTCTTATGCACAGCATTCCACCTCAATAAGATCTATCCACCTATGAAGTTTCATGCTGACATCTCAAAGACTTTTTGAGTTATGCTTCACTCAGGTGAAAAAATTAAGTATAAAAATAACAAAGGGCAATAACTAAAAAATTATGAAGGGTAGAGTTATCATTCTTGTGCACTGCACACCTCCTGAGTGAGATCTATCCACCTATGAAGTTTCAAGTTGATACCTCAAATTCTTTTTGAGATATGCTCCCGACAAAAAGTATGAAAAATAACAAAGGGCAATTACCGAAAAATTATGCAGGGTAGAGTTCTTGTGCACTGCACTCCTCCTCAATATGATCTATCCACCTATGAAGTTCCAAGTTGATACCTCAAATACTTTTTGAGATATGCTCCTGACAAAAATGTCGGATGGAAGGACGGACGAAAGGAAGGACGGACGGAAGGACACAGGGACGGACGAAGACTATTTCTATATCCCCCGCCGCCTTTCGGCGAGGGATAATTAAACATTGAGCCTTACCATGCTATATATATTAAAATGACTTGTCCAGCTTTCTTTCAATGTGGACAATACTATTCATCATTTTTAGGAAAAAATTCAAAATAAGTATACTCTAACTTGGTATAATTGGTGCAATTCTATTACTCACAGTAATTATTGACCGCATTCAAAAAAAAATTGAAATATTTAGTTGATTTTTTTCTGCTTAACACAAAATATTAATTATTAAATTTATCAATGAAATTCAATTCAGACATATTGGAAACATTAAGTATGCTGATGATACGGAGTCTTATGCTACTGACTGGACAGCAAACAGTGCAGACCATGATCAGATGTCATATATGTGCTGAATGATCGTGGTCTGCACTGGTCAGTGTTACTGCACTTGTCAGTGTTACTGCACTTGTCAGTGTTACTGCACTTGTCAGTGTTACTGCACTTGTCAGTGTTACTGCACTTGTCAGTGTTACTGCACTTGTCAGTGTTACTGCACTTGTCAGTGTTACTGCACTTGTCAGTGTTACTGCACTTGTCAGTGTTACTGCACTTGTCAGTGTTACTGCACTGGTCAGTGTTACTGCACTGGTCAGTGTTACTGCACTGGTCAGTGTTACTGCACTGGTCAGTGTTACTGCACTGGTCAGAGTTACTGCACTGGTCAGTGTTACTGCACTGGTCAGTGTTACTGCACTGGTCAGTGTTACTGCACTGGTCAGTGTTACTGCACTGGTCAGTGCTACTGCACTGGTCAGTGTTACTGCACTGGTCAGTGTTACTGCACTGGTCAGTGTTAATTTCCAATGCTGCCAGCAGGCTTAGAGTTAAATAAAAATTTAACAGAAAATAAACAAACCATTTAATTTTGTTAAATTTGGATTTTTCTTTTTCAGTTTCAGAAAGTTCTTTCTTCCATCACTAAGAGACTGTATGTAGCGATCTTCTGTCACATCCAACACTTCTTTTACCTGAAATATCACTATACTAACATTAATACATTCAGTCATTTTCTGCCTATTTTTAGAAGAAATGACTTATGTACCAGATACATATAAACATTCTTGTATTAAAAAATCTAACCAAATTGGTACTAAATTGGTACAAAAAATGACTTTATAGATTTTGGGAAAATATTTCCTATTATCATTAATGATATACTGACTTAAATCAAATATCAGCCTGTACTTGGTTAACTAATTTAATAATAATGCCTTCACTGACACAGATGTTGGATTACACAGGTGGATTGGATTACACAGGTGTATGTATCACTCATACAAGAGTCAAGATAACATTTCTCACATGGTTCAAGTATAGACTTTGAGATATCCAAGTAAGCTCTAAGTTCTCATCAAAATTAAACCCCAATACAAATGCTGAAGCTACACTAACATTTTCTACCGTTTCCTGATCTAAGTTCAGGTCTATTCTAGTATTCATATAAGGCTGACTGTGAAAAAAAAACTTTACCATATAGCTTTTTTTTTAATCACTAGAAGTATTAGACTAAATTTAATGCTTTCTATAAGAATAATTTTTTCACGGTCACAAAGATGACTGTACCTACCTTTTTGGCATGTGTAGATATTTCCGGATATGTTTCACCCTAAAATAGAAACAATATCATATGATATAAACAATATGATTAGAACAATCATTAGTTAAGAACACCAGTATATAATAAACTTGAGCAATACAAAAATGTGCAGGCACCGTGGTCATAAACAAATTGTATAACAAGCTATAGTCACTACTACTTTATTAACAAGAGCTTTCAGTAAGACATCATGCCCGACTATTCTCTGTGCTTGATAGTAAAACAAGAGACTAGATAACATAGAATAGTCAGTGCTTGAGAGTAAAACAAGAGCCTAGATAACATAGAATGATATAAGTTCAATAAGGGTTATAATTCTGTAATAATCCATTTTAGAGTTATGGACCTTGAACATTGACCCCCTGCTATGCTCTTTAATAAGTGTGTAAAATTTCAACAAATTCCCTTAATTAGTTTTGGATACCAACTTGCACTAAAAAACTTGTTTGTGACAGTGAAGCCAAGGTGAGTACAAAAGCTCTTTCTTTTCTTTAAGTAGTCAACACAATAAAACATAATTGATTTACTGAGCTGCTCCTTGCCTTAGTATTGTTGTAGTTTTAGCAAGGCACCTGGTTAAGGTTTGATTTAATGATTGAGTTTGTATGAGAATTGAGACCTCATTTGTTGTCATTATTTATTACTATAAATCTGTTGGGGCTAGACTGTGTATCAGTCTGGGAGATTTTAGTTTGGTATCTCTGTCAACGGGTACCTGCATAAATAATGGACAAGAGGTCTGCAATTGTTGTGTTTAGGGAACTCAATCATTGGTTACCATCATAAATATTCCAGGAATCAGTCTGTTTGTTTCTGGTACAGTTACTTGATCAACACTTGTCGTCATAAATATAGAAGGCTTAAATTTGTCAATTAACACTAAGGTAACCTCCAAATATGGAGAGACTAGGTATTTCATATAAATACTGGGGCAAGATTTTCTAGGGGCAGTCTAGATTGAAGATTGAAGAACGAGATTCAAAATGCAAGAGTAAGATTGTAAGAGCTAGAGTTGGGATAGGGATTTTTGAGAGTTAATTATACAGTGACTTATCAACCATGTGTGAGGAAGAAAAACTCTGTAACTTTAATTATTAATTGTAGAGTAGAAATTTAGAACATTTTATAACAAATAAACAGTGAAATGAAATTAAGAACAGTTATTGTGTATATTTTATGTGGAATTATGGAAGTAGTAGAAATTATAAATTACGAGAGAGAAGAATTTATAACACTGGTGGCAGCGAACAGGATTTTTGGACTTTAACACGTTTAGAAAAGATTTTAAAGTGACTATCTGAAGAGACGTAAATTTGAACTGTACATTATAAAATTACTAAAATGGGACCAAAGAAACAAACCGGTGCAGCTTCAATTTTTGTGGAAGAACAATTTGGTGACAATGTTTTATCGGAAACTGAGTTATTACATGAAAAACTGAGAATTGCAGAAGAACAAAACACAGAGCAAGAAGCCATGTTACAAAGAGATAAAATTGTGAATCATTATCTACAGAGGATTAATGACATAGATGGATTATTAATTATAGTTGGTCTGTGTGAATTTTTGTCAGACTTTTAAGTACACTGTTTTCATTGCACATATTCATGAAGATAGATTATTAGGATAAGACTTTAAATGAAAAATATTTCTTTATTTATTGCTCAATTGGAATTAAATGTGGGTTAATGAAAAAAAGAAATTGTGGAGAAGGTGCCATTAAAATTTGTGAAAATTATAACACGGTCAAAGGTATCAATTCAAGTAAATTCAGACATTGTTAAACCTGGTAAAGCAATAAATCTTGGAACAATTAACTCATCATTAGGGATCTCCTGCTTTTCGGAAAATAAATAGCCAGCAGATAAAGTGTTTATGGGAAGTGTGCTAGTATCCCATAGGGAAGTTCGAGGCAATTCAATTCGTATTAGATTAGTTAACTTTTGATAGAAATGTAAAGTTGACCAAGGGGTCATTATTTGGATATTTGCATGAATTAAATCAATTAGATTTATTGAAAGAGAAAGTGAAAATTGATGACTGCAAATTAACTAGTAAAACATATGATAATATTAAATATGGTTTCACTAAATGGAGCAGTAAGTTAAAAGGGTTATATCATAGATCATCAGGAAGCAGAATTTAAGTTAATGTTGTGTTTGCAATTAAGCCTTTTATCAATCTCAAAGACTGTACTGTGCAACTTGAAGAGAACTTTTGGATGTTGTGACTTTTATCCTACCTTTTAGAAAGAGAATTTTAAGGACATATTGTTCAAGTCTGCGATGTTAAATGTCGTTCAAGTCGCCGACAGGTCAAATGGCTCGCTGGTTAGAAGTTTTGTCACAGTTAAATTTTAGGATTGAACATAGAAGTGGAAAAAACATACAAATGTTGACAGTCTCTCTAGAATGTCATGTGAACCAGAAGAGTGTAGTTGTTATGATGGAAAAACAATCTTGGAAAATTTACCTTGCAAAGGATGTGTAACCTGTATGAAGAAACATGAGTCTTGGTCGGATTTTGCCAAATTTGATAATGTTGTTCCCTTGTTCGGTAGGAACATAGGTGAAGGGAAAAGTATCAAACCTGTTGTGTTAGGAGTGAAACCTCAAAATGACTGGGCATTTTGGAGTGATGTTTTCTTGTTAATGCAGCTGCAAGTTATGAGATTATTGTGTTGTTTAAGATCACTTTTCCATGGAATAAAAAGGGCAAGGAAGTATTTTCGATATCGCATAGGTCGACTTCGTTTCCGTGAAAGCCTACATTTGCGTGGTGAAAGAAGTGGAAACAATCTCAACATGGGTGAAAATAATACACAAGTGGTTGACAAAGACGTAAATTCCATACTAGGTGGCGAAGTTGTTTCATCAGAAAATGAAGCTCAGGCATCTAACTTGGGTAGTCTTATGCAGTTCAACACTATTAATTATTCACCTATTAGAATGGCAAAATTACAGAGAGCAGACCTTGATTTAGGTGTTGGGACATCATGGGTTACTGGAAGCAAACAAGTGGTTGACAAGGACGTAAATTCCATACTAGGTGGCGAAGTTGTTTCATCAGTAAATGAAGCTCAGGCATCTAACTTGGGTTGTCTTATGCAGTTCAACACTACTTGTTATTCACCTGTCAGAATTGCAGAACTACAAAGAGCAGACCCAGATTTAGAAGTTGTTATAACATGGGTTATTGAAAACAAACGACCCTCCAGGGACAAGGTAGCTAGATATTCTCCAAATATAAGGAACTACTGGTTTAACTATGACTTGCTAGTGATGAAAGATGGAGTGCTGTTTACAAAATGTAACAGTATTCTCAACACAAGAGAGGAGGCTTTGCTTCTTATTGTTCCAAAGATTTTACAAAAAGATATTTTGGTATCTACACATGACTCAGTTACAGGCGCTCATTTGGGAATTACAAAAACTTTGTCAAAAATTAAATGCAAGTTTTTTTGGTTTAAGCTAAGACGCAGTGTTAAAATTCATATAAAGCAATGCAAGAAGTGTTCATTTCTAAAACGATCATCAAAATGCACTGTTGGTCACAGTATGGGCAGGGTTAGCACTGATAACAAGGAGAGATAATGGCCATGTGGAAATCATGCATCATGATAGTTTGAAACATTATCGTGGAAATTATATGACAAATTGGCAATCAAACATGGCAAGGATCAACAAGAATAACAATAAATTACAAATCAAAGAAACTAAGACAATGCAGAAGATGGCATCTGAATCAGATTTTCAACAAGTAAGAAGAGGTAAAAGGAATAGGACTCAACACATACCATACCAGCACAGAACATAAAGATCATAAAGAATCATCATGTAAAATATCTTTCAATAAGTTTTGATTTCAAAGGAGTACATGTTGGGTATATAAGGGTACTCTGAGATTTTGCAGTCATTTCGGAGTTTTCGACTATTCAGAATTGTGTAGGGAATTAATATTGGAATAATATGAAAGTGTAAAGAAAATAGTGAAAAAAAGAGGAATTTTAAACGTTGTTCTTACAAAAATATATATTGGATATAAAACGCAATCGGAATTAATTTGTGATTCGTTCAAATTGGAATATTAATTTGTTATTCATTTCAAAATTGGAATATTAATTTGTGATTCATTCTGAATTGGAATATTAACTTGTGATTCTTTTCAATTGGAATATTATTGTGTGATTCTGGTTTAAATTGGATTTTAAAGTGTTTTATTTTCAGTTTAACAATCAGTGCCATTTTCTAATTTCAACTATGTTATATATAAATATTAAGTTTAATATTTTGGCACTTATGACTCTATGGAAGAGACGACTACCAAACAAATTTTATATTCAGTTTGTGCCTTTTAAGAATTCTTACACATTTGTTAAAATTTATTAAGAAATAAATAGGCACCAGGACTTTGTGTGCAAGAAATAGACAATGTGTGAAAGATTGAATTAGGATATATTATTGTGAAATAGAAAAAAAAGGACAACAGAACAATTATATTATATAATTATGTGACAAAATAAGTTTCATTTTGATATTAAAACACGGTGTTAAAAGTTGAATAACTGTTTGAGAACTTTAATTAGTTTGTTTTGAGTATTCAATGTATAATTGTAGTCAGAAAAAAAAATTGTCGTTAACAGAAGTAACATTTCTGTAGATTTAGTATTTTCTTAGAATTTCGTATTTGAGTAATGCTTATTTTAGTCAATGCAGTGTTTATATGTTAATTGAGAATGTTTTATTGTTAAACTTCTATTCATTTTGGGAGTAAGATTGGTTGAATAGTCACTGATTTTTGTTTCATTTCTATATTTTTGTTTGGTGTTATTAACTTAATTGGGACAATTAAGCTTTTTAAGGTTGGGGGAGTGTTGTAGTTTTAGCAAGGCACCTGGTTAAGGTTTGATTTAATGATTGAGTTTGTATGAGAATTGAGACCTCATTTGTTGTCATTATTTATTACTATAAATCTGTTGGGGCTAGACTGTGTATCAGTCTGGGAGATTTTAGTTTGGTATCTCTGTCAACGGGTACCTGCATAAATAATGGACAAGAGTCTGCAATTGTTATGTTTAGGGAACTCAATCATTGGTTACCATCATAAATATTCCAGGAATCAGTCTGTTTGTTTCTGGTACAGTTACTTGATCAACACTTGTCGTCATAAATATAGAAGGCTTAGATTTGTCAATTAACACTAAGGTAACCTCCAAATATGGAGAGACTAGGTATTTCATATAAATACTGGGACACGATTTTCTAGGGGCATTCTAGATTGAAGATTGAAGAACGAGATTCAAAATGCAAGAGTAAGATTGTAAGAGCTAGAGTTGGGATAGGGATTTTTGAGAGTTAATTATACAGTGACTTATCAACCATGTGTGAGGAGGAAAAACTCTGTAACTTTAATTATTAATTGTAGAGTAGAAATTTAGAACATTTTATAACAAATAAACAGTGAAATGAAATTAAGAACAGTTATTGTGTATATTTTATGTGGAATTATGGAAGTAGTAGAAATTATAAATTACGAGAGAGAAGAATTTATAACAGTATTGTGATTACTACATTTAACACCTTTATCTTCTTGAAACAATGTAATGCACTTATCCAGTTCAAATTTTACATCTGTCTATAAATAGATTCTGGAATATCAATTATAATCATGTTGAAATTAAGAAGCCAACCGTATAGTCTTTTCCAATAACCTTCTTGTTACTCCTGTTGTCGTTCTCTAAACTAAACCTGGTCCCACACCAACAACAGTGAGAATCACCACTTACATTCAAAGAAAGGTAAAGTAACTTCAGCAAATGAAAGAGAATACTGGCTTTCTAACTAAGCACAATTTTCATAATTAAACCAAATCTGTAGGTAAAACCCTAAGAGAGAGAATTATATTAAATCTTAACTCAAACACAAAATTAACACATGTTCAGTTTATAATAAAACTTACCAGAGATTCAGCTACTGGGTTCACTAATTTTCCCAGGAGACCCGGATTGGCTTTCATGATTTGATGACATTGATATAATGCTCTGTATATCACACCACGTAATTTGACCCTAGCAAAAAAGCACAACACAAAATTTTAAGAAACTGCTTCCAATTATATTCCAATAAAGTTGAGAGGGCGTATCCTGCCTTCAACAGAAACAAGAGTCAAACTTATTTTGAATATCTGAATGTTGGTTTAAATGTGAAAATTGTTGTTTCTATTTTAAAATTAATTATCTTAGGTCTATTTCTAAACCGGTGATCAAATTACTTTAAAAACATTTAATAATTTGACATAGTGAATGTGAAAAATATTGATGCGTTTGCGACCAGAATGGATCCAGACCAGCCTGCGCATCTGCGCAGTCTGATCAGGATCCATGCTAACCAACCCTATTACAAGAAGAAAATCTGATGCCCAGGCTGATCTGGATCCATGCTGGTCGCAAACGCACTTTGTTGGTTTCGTCGAGAAAACTTACTCTAGATCTTCTTTGCCTGGTAGCAGTCCATCACTTATACAGACTGTGGCCATTCTAACATGATCTGCTATGATTCTGTAGGCAGTGTTAATTTTGTCAGCATCACTGGAACCAGTCTCATCTTTATATACTGCTACATTTGTTTCCTGGTGAAACGAAAACAAACAAAAAAATGAAAAAAAAAAAAAAATTGAAAAAAAAGAAAGATTTTCTATGAAAACATACCATTTTAGCAGTCTGAATTTCTTAAATAGACTTGTCCAGCTTCAAAAGCTAGAACTGTCCGTTCTCAATTTTGGGCATAATAAGATGCAAATTTAAGTTAGGTCACCAACAGTATAGAGCCTGGTCATTATTGCTACTACTTTTAACAAGTGGCAGAATGGCCATGTGAATACATTGTCAGACTAGTAATCTAAGAATTGCGGGTCACTTGGGTTCAAATCCTGTCAGGGGCAAGCTGTTGTTTCCATAAGTAAGAAACTTTACACTCACTGCTCAGTACTTGTTTGTTCCAAGAAGGGATTCCATAAGCTTATAGCTTCCAACACAGTCAAACTAAAATAAATTTGTATTGTGTAGTATAAACCTTTACCATGCTAAATATGTTAAAGCAGCGTGCTTCAGAATGAGATTCATACTGATTTTCATGAAAAATTTGAAAATGTATCAAAAAGTAAAATATTTTTAAGTGAACAAAGAAAGTAATTTACAGATTGCAAAGGGTGCTTTCAATCCATGTAAATTACCAAAAAAATGTCAAAATATGCACACAAAAAATCCCTTACTGCCTTAGTCACACAGTAAAAATATAATGATTAGATGTCAAAAGATGTCAAAATCAGTCATTCTTTTTATGTAAACTATTACTTGATTTTTTTAAATATTTTCACTTTTCTTAAAATCTTATTACATTTTTCTACAGGTTGACTTTCTTGACAATTTCTAAAACATTTGGAGATGTGAAGCTTAAAATGTCTATCTTTCAAGCCGGACAAGACCATACATCATTTTCAGGGAAAATTTTAAAATATGTACTGATTTTAATAAAGAACAGTTCAGACCTTGATCAGTTGGCATGGATGTGCAAGCTGGTCTTGGTCTGCACTGGTGGCATGGCCAGAATCAGTTGCCACTAGCAGACTAAATGTTAAAAGAATTCATTTTCACTAATACAGGTTTTAAGTTAGCACCTGTGAGCAAAATCAGTCTTCTCACCTTCTGTATAACATCAAATATTGGCAGGAAAAGATCTGTGTTATAGTTAGACATGGTTCCCCGTAGTACTGCACAAATTCTCTCTAGGCCCATACCAGTGTCTACATGTGTGGAAGGCAGGGGTACCAACCTCTCTGGACCCAATCTAAAATAAATATTGTGTGATAATGAAGTCATTTCAGAAGTGTAAGATAAAAACAACTTAAGTTTGTTAAACATTATACCCAACCCTCAACACTTGCCAATTAGTATTCACTCAGCCACAGGTGCCCACTGTTAAAATTTCAAGCCCTAGTAAATCTAGGACAGTCAAGGTCATTGTGACCATGACCTTTGACCTAGTGACCACAAATCATTCAGGTTCATCTACTGGTCATGACCAATCCCTATACCAAGTTTGAAATTCTTTTCCCACATGTTCTTAAATTATTGATCTGAAATCTAAGAACCAACTGACAGACCAACCAATGGATGGTCCAATGTGTGCAAAGCAAGGCCAATCGGAACATCCCCGGCTATTATCTATAATAACCTCGGAAACAATACGAATTGAAAGTAGTTCCACCACATATTTTCAGATGTAAACAGAAACAGAGATAATGTAAAACAAATGTATATATTTGACATCCAAAAGAAAAGTAATGTCTGTTTATGTACATTTATGATTGAAAATATGTCGGACAACAATTTGAATTTAAATATGCCCACTGATATACAATTTTAAACAAATTGGACTAAATGTCAACAGGTTGGTTTTTTATACTTTCGTTTTCTACAACCATGATAATGAATATATAAATAATGTATTGTTTGCTTTTATACCTATGAATTCACTTATTTTAGGTGGACTTATACTACATATAATGGAAATAAACTTGTCAACAACTCCCAGCATTAAATTACTATTTGTTTACATGTTTATTTTCTTAGTGTAGGTAAGACCGAAATACCGCATCCGTTCTATGTATTCATACTATTGTGTTCGAGGTCCTTATCAGAAGACTGGCAGAAAGGGCGGAAAAGTTGCGATTGAAGTAAGGCAAGCATAATCAGATCTAATTTTATACAAATATTACAAATGATTACACTAATAATATTTCATAATGCTAAGATTCATTTCAGTCAAAGATAGCATTTCTAAGGGTAAAAACGTCTACAAACTTAAAAAGAATTAAGCCATGTATACAAATTACAGCATATTCTAAAAAAGACTTATATATTTTTTTATATTGTTTTTCAAATGTCCTTTACAATGTTTTTTTTTTTTTTCAAAGAAATAGGCTCCATTAAAATCAACAATCAAAAGGTAAAAAAGGTTCTTTAAAAAAACTAAAATGTTTGTTTGTCTAAATTTTGAACACAAAAATAATATCCTTTTTTCATCTGAAATCCAACAAAAAAAAAGGCATTTCAACATATAACAAATTTCTTGGAATGATATTCAACAGGTTCCTTCTTCACTGTAAGGAATTCAATGCTCAAAGCTAGATTTGTACCTACAGCTACAAGAAACCAGCGATTCAAGTCAAAGCTGACGACTAGACCACAAAGGCAAGTCATTCTATATTTGAGTCGCATCACAACAAAACCAACATAATGGGTTTGCGACCAGCATGGACCCAGACCAGCCTGTGCATCTGCGCAGTCTGATCAGGATCCATGCTGTTCGCTTTCAGTTTCTCTATTTGTAATAAGATTTGCAAGTGAACAGCATGGATCCTGATCATACTGCACCGATGCGCAGGCTGGTCTGGATCCATGCTGGTCACAAACCCATTATGTTGGTTTTGTTGTGACGCAGCTCATTTACCTATTGTACTGCATAAAAACCAGGTTCCAAATCTCCACAACTTCAGGTGAGTCCATGTTGACCAAACTGGAAGCATCTCTATTTCCAACATGATCAAAATGTATTTCTGTGCAAGGCCCACATGGTCCAGTTTCTCCCATATCCCAAAAGTTATCATCCATCCCAAATGGTAAAATATGAGCTTCTGGTACCCTATAAAGGTATAAAGCTTTATCAGTATATTCTCAATTCATAAGTTGTTTTTTTAAATTAATTCATATAATGGACAGATGACTGATGTATAGTATCAAAAAGTTCAAAACTTTTAAACAGAAGAATCATTTAAATACAAAATTAAAGTGAAGCAGCAATATCCTCTATATTATACTAAAAATTACTAGGCATCCTCTGCCTACCTACAATGGGTATTAAACACTCATGCCATGATACTTTCATTAGTATTTGATCAAAATGATAATATCAAGCAAGGATGTATTGTATTTCATCTATTTCAACTTCTGCAACTTTGTAAATATGTACAACCTTTTTCTTTCATATGAACATTTTTTCATATCTAAAATAAAAATATTATTTTAGAATGTGAAAAATAAACAGTAGCATTAGTTAAATATTGTTTTTCATAACAATAAATGAGCCTTGTCACGACAAAACCAACATAGTTGGTCTGGATCCATGCTGATAGCGAACAGCATGGATCCTGATCAGACTGCGCGGATGTGCAGGCTAGTCTTGATCCATGTTTGTCGCAAACCTGTTATGTTGGTTTTGTCGTGAAGCGGCTCAAATGTCTTAAATTATGAATTGCAGTAGTAGACTGTATCACAATATGGTTATGACCGTATCAATACACACCTACACATTTAACATAGTAAGAATTTAAAGGAAAATACACAGACCATATTGAGGGGCCATTGTAAAAGTTACCTTTAAATGAATGTTTACATAATACACTAATTACCTTGTATGGTTTCACACTGACTTTTTAAATTTACCAACATTAAGAATATCTATTGGTTAAGGTATGTCAGACGTACCCAAGTTCTAGCCATATTTCCTTGCATTGCAAATCAGGTGATATACCAAGTACTGAGTTGCCACCAAAATATGTGAAGTATAACTGCTGTAGTGGGAGCTTGTATACTTCAGTTAACAAAGTCCAAGCCATACTGCATGCCTCTTTCTGCATATCAGATTTAAAAAAATCATACTGGTTAAAATTGCCACTCATTTACTAATCTATGAGACTGTTTTTATTTTATTTTTCATTATTAAGAATATACAGTACACATCTTTAAAATATAAAATAAGCAAATAAAATATATAGGAAATTGTGAATAGCAGATGAGGGTGTATCAAAATCAAAGTTGTGAAATGTTAAAAAAATAAACTTCTCACCTAGTCTTTACAAGCAATCCATTTCATTTTAAAATCAATATAACAATACATGTAACTTATTGGTTTATACACACTCTGAATTTTTAACTTAGCTTAAATAAATTAAGGATAAACTGAACAGACAAACAGACAGGACAAACTCAATCAATCAACTCCTAATCAAATCAAAATGAGCCGTGTCATTACAAAACCAACGTAATGCGTTTGCGACCAGCATGAGGCGCAGTCTGGTCTGGATCCATGCTGGTCGAAAACCCACTATGTTGGTTTTTGTCATGAAGTGGCTCAGATGTATTTTAAATTTTTTTTTTTTTTTTCAGTAAATCAATTTCTGGCTTAATTCCGACACTTGTTTTATCTACCTTGAAATAATCACCAAATGACCAGCTTCCGAGCATCTCAAAGAAAGTGTGGTGTGTGAGGTCACGACCTACATCATCTAGGTCATTATGCTTGCCACCTACTCGCACACATTTCTGACTGTTTACCACTCTCTTGTGTCTTCCAAGGTCCGATCCTTCAGGCACAGTTCCAAGAAAAATTGGTTTAAACTGTCAAATACATAATTATAAACAAATTACCTATGATAGTCAAATATCACTCACCAAACTGTAAAGGCTCTAAATGACAAGGAACAGATAATATTTATAACAATGATTGAAATGCAGGCATTTATCAAACTAGAACTCTGTGAGTCGGATGTGTCTCCACAATATAGTTTAAGAGAAATGGCAAAGATGAAAATAAAATTTGAAAATCAACAAAGGGCAATAACTCAAAAAATAAGAAATGCAGATCAGCAGTTTCTATGCACTGCACTTCTTATCAATAAAATCTACCGTAATTCAAGAGAGCAATATATTTGATTTGTTTGTTTGATAGATAAAGTATGGGATGCCTAACACAATGTGAAAATCCTGAAATGATGTGAAAGTAACCATAGGCACTCGGGTATGGCACCACATATTGTCATGCATTTTATTCAATGTTGTACTGTCTTATATATATCTTATCTGGTCTTAAAAATCCATAAATGATAGTATAATGACAAAGTGTACTGCCTCAAATATGGCATGATGTGTACACTAAAGAATATACAAAATCTAATTGTAAAAATAGAGAAATAGATAAGAGATGCCATTATGTCATAGTAAATGCTTACCTGATTCATCCCAGCATTGGTAAAATAAGTACCTGCATTTTTGCAAGGTAAGACTGACGATGATTTCACAAACTCATGATTGTTCTTTTGGCGAAAATAATCAATAAACTGCTTACGAACATCTTTAGATTTCCACTCACATGAATACAGTCTTTTTTGCGATGTGATAGACATACACATCAATCTTAATTTAGCTAATTTACGGAAACAATTCCGACATATTCCGTGGTTAAATGCTTGCATTTTTTCAGGTAACAGAAGTTTCACTGGAATAAGTAAATGATAAGATTGAACTGTTGAATAGTTTTTGATATACTTTTTAATTTAAGTGTTTTTTAGCACATGTAGCATTCAATCCTTTACAAAGTAACACCTGCTGTATTTTGTAGGCAACGTAAGTTTGAACATGCATGCGGTTTGGTATCTACTGATATTGTACTGTCTTGACTAATGTCCTTGGAAAGAAAATACAACTAATTCGCTGATTAAAAGCAAAGTACACAACAGGAATCTTACACAATCTTATTACGAACAAATGTCGTATGTTAATAAAAGGGGAACAACTCCGTAAGACGT